CTGGGAATTGCAACTAAAATACAGAAAAAGTCCCAGGACCAAACTGGAATTGCAACTAAAATACAGAAAAAGTTCCTGAATAATCAATGGGAGACTCACTGGAGAGAACCAGTGGGGGGATGGTGGGGGTGGCCTGAGGGGGTTAATGGGGGGAAAAGGGGACATATGTAATATTTCCAACAACAAAGAATTATTAAAGAAAAAGAAACATTGATGAGAGAAACAACATCAGTTGGCTGCCTTCTGCACACCCCCTACTGGGGATGGAGCTGGAACCCCGGGCATGTGCCCTGATCCAGAATTGAACCAGTGGCTTCCTGGTTCATGGGGGTCGACCCTCACCCACTGAGCCACACCAGCAGGGCTGATGTGAACATTTTATTTTATTTTTTAAGTATATTTTTATTGGTTTCAGAGAGAAAGGGAGAGGGGAAGAGAGAGAGAAACATCAGTGATGAGAGAGAATCATTGATTGGCTGCCTCCTGCACACGCCACATTGGGGAGTGAGCCCACAACCAGGGCATGTCCTGACTGGGAATGGAACCATGACCTCCTGGTTCCTAGGTCGACACTCAGCCACTGAGCCACACCAGCCAGCCTGATGTGAGCATTTTAAATAGGGATTGCAGTATTTACACTTGAGGTTTGCAGACTTGGCCGTAACTCCTGCTTGTTTTTTATCCTTTACTAGTGGTAGAGATGAGTTTCTGTTTTTCATTATTAAGTCTGTTGGGGTGACATTGGTTAATATGTGAGTTTCTGATCGTACACATGAACCTTTGCAGTGACGACCAGGAGAAACAGTCCAAGAAGAAACCTCGCCTCTTCTGTGACATATGTGACTGCTTCGATCTCCACGACACAGAGGACTGTCCCACCCAGGCGCAAATGTCGGAGGACCCCCCTCACTCCACACACCACGGCAGTCGGAGCGAGGAGCGCCCGTACTGTGAGATCTGCGAGATGTTTGGGCACTGGGCAACCAACTGCAACGACGACGAGACCTTCTGACGAAGCCTCACCTCTGGGACCGGGCTTTCTCGGACGCACCAGCATCGGGGCAACCGAACACCAGCATCATGTGTGCAGACTTCCGGACAACTCATGTTATTTTTGACCCCCACCAACAAATCTAAGAAAGTATTTTGATCTTCAACAAATCGCCCTTTTAGTTTCCCCGTATACGTTAGAATAATAAATACTTAGGAGGTGAGTTTTCACCTCTTATTTTTGGCGTCTTGATTTTTAAGTTCCAACAGGACGTTGCACCAGAGGTCGTTACATAGATTGTCCCGAGGGAAACCTCCAAGAACAATCCCTACCCTCCAGTACCTTATTTAAGTAACTTTAAATTATGCCATTCTCATATTTGCACTAAAATCTTCCCAGGCTGCGTTTTTGTATAGTGAGATGTTTTGGTTAAGCTTTGACACTGGAATGAGTTGAAAAAAAATGTGCCATTTTGCATTTTCATCTACTCATATAGAGCATTTTATTTTTAGTCGAAGAAATAACAGATCTTTGCACTACCTGATGTCAGTAGTGCCTTTACTTCAGGCTTGGTAACACTTAGGTGTGATGATAAATCATGAAACAGGTAAAGGGAGGGGGGAGCCCCCAAACTGCTGTGGGACGTTTTATAATCGATATGCTGCACCCACTTACTCTACTGTGGCGCTTTGTTTATTGGTTTTGCATAATTTCAGCTATATATTGTATGTATATATTTTTAAAAAAATCTCTATTTTGGGAAAAAGGATTCACAATTGTGTCTTTCTTTTCAGATTTTTACCTTTATGAAAAAGAAAACACTTAGAATGTTTATCAGGATGTAATGGGCTAGGCCAGAAATAGCATCACACAGCTTTGGAGCTATTTTTTATTTTTGTTTTCATTTTGTTTCTTTATCAGATCTAAATAAATACAATATTTTTCCTTCTCTAGCAGATATCCCCAGCAGTCGATTAATTAGATAATAAGCTGCTATACAACAGTTACATTAACCAATCTACAATCTTTACAAGTTGTATTTACTGTCTTTTTAGATGAATGTATGATGAGAAATTCAATATTAATAATTTTGGATTTTCTTATCACAAAAAATTAAATGAAGGACCTCAGCCACCAGAAGTTTATCAACCAGTTTTATTAAACTATTTATCTTGTTTTGAATTGAATGTCTTCTAGAAGATGTAAAAAGTAATAAATAAATGTATCTCCATGCTACATGTATAATAAGAACTTCTATAATTGTACATATGCCTTTGATGTATTTTCCCCTCAAGATTATTAATTGTATTTGACAAGTGAAAAACCTGTAATCAATTGAAATTTCTGGTTATAAACATAATAGGAATTGTTTCACAAACAATATGTAAAGCAGTATTAAAATTTGAGCAAAAAAATGTTCTGTACCTACTTTATTTTAGTTAAAAAATACCATTCTTTTTTTTTTTAAATAATTATTGTTGAAAGTATTACATACTAGTATGTTCCCCTTCTTCCCCCATTGACCCCCTCCAGCTCGCCCCTACCTCCACCCTTCACCTCCCCATTGTCTGTGTCCATGGGCCATGCATATAAAGTCCTTAGTTGATTACCTCCCACTCACTCATCCTCCTCCTCCCTCCCTGCTCTCCCCCTTACCTTCCCTCCGAGATTCCGCACTCTGTTCCATGCTTCCATGTCTCTGGATCCACTCTGTTCATCAGTTTATTCTGTTAATTAGATTCCACATATGAGTGAGATCATGTGATTCTTGTCTTTCTCTGACTGATTTATTCCACTTAGCATGATGCTCTCCAGATCCCTCCATGCTGTCTCAAAGGGTAAGAGATTCTTCTTTCTTACTGCTGCACAGTATTCCATGGTGTAAATGTACCACAGCTCATCTACTGATGGGCACTTGGGCTGTTCCCAGATCTCAGCTATTGTAACTTGTGCTGCTATGAACATAGGGGTGCATACATCCTTTCTGATTGGTGTTTTGGGTTTCTTAGGATATATTCCTAGAAGTGAGATCACTGGGTCAAATGGCAGTTCCATATTTAATTTTTCGAGGAAACGCCATGCTGTTTTCCATAATGGTTACACACCAGTCTGCATTCCCACCAGCAGTGTACTAGGATTCCCTTTTCTCCACATGCTGGCCAGCACTTGTCATTTGTGGATTTGTTGATGGCAGCCATTCTGACAGGTGTGAGATGATACCTCATCGTTTTAATTTGCATCTCTCTGATGATCAGTGACTTTGAGCATTTTTTCATATGTCTCTTGGCCATCTGTATATCCACTTTGGTGAAGCATCTATTTTAAATAGATATAATAAAAGCATGATATGCTAATTAGACCGGACAGCTAAAGATCTGGACATCATTCTGGATGTCCTTCTGGACGAAGCTGTGGCAGCGGGGGCCAAGGCAGAGGCGGTTAGGGGCAATCAGGCAGGCAGGCGAGCAGTTAGGGATGATCAGGCAGGCAGGCAAGTGGTTAGGAGCCATCAGCAGGCAGGTGAGTGGTTAGGGGCGATGAGGCAGGCAGGCAGGTGAGCACTTAGGAGCCAGCAGTCCTGGATTGCAAGAGGGTGCAGGCCTGGCTGAGGGACCCCCGCCCCCATCGTGCACTAATTTCGTGCACTGGGTCTCTGTGTGTGTGTGTGTGTATAGATAGATAGATATAGATATAGATATATATATGATTTCAGAGGGAGAGAGAAACATCAATGATGAGAGAGAATCATTGATTGGCTGCCTCCTGTATGCCCCCTACTGGTGATTGAGCCCACAACCTGGCATGTGCCCTTGACGGGAATCAAACCAAGGACCCTTCAGTCCACAAGCCAATGGTATCCACTGAGCCAAACCAGCTAGGGCTATATCTACTTTAACAAATGGTTATTCTTTTTGCCCAGTGGTACTAACTGATATATTCAGTTTCATTTATCATAATGGTTTTTCTTCAAATGAGCAAGCACTATAGATCCAAATAGCAATTTTTACTGCAGTCTTGCTGATAAATAGCTTTAAGAACTTGGTATATTCTTTTTAAAAATGTTTTTATTGATTTGAGAGAGAAAAACATCTATCTGAGGAAGAAACATTGATCGGTTGCCTCCCATAGGCACCCCACCCAACGGTGACTGAACCTGCTACCTGGGCATGTGCCCTTGACCAGGAAGTGAACCAGTGACCCGTGGGTGCGCAGGACCGAGGGCCGACGCTCTGACCACTGCGCCACCGGCCAGGGCCTGATAAGCTTTTGTACGTGAATGACGTGCTCCTATGATTCCCACAACTGATGAGGTAATATGTGAATTTTACTGATGAAGCAAGTGCCGGGACCTGGATTCTACATCGGATAGTATTTCCTAAGAAAAAGTCTACTAAGAAGAGCTGAACAGACATGTCCCTCAGGTTCCTTCGGACCCTGGTCATTTTTCTAAATTTTAGCCCACAAACCAAAAGAGCAAAGAGTTTAATCGCTCTGATTGAAAATATTCCCATTCACGTTTAGCTTCAAATTACCGTTTTACAGCGAGTACGCTCGCTGCTAAGATGAAAGTGGCGATTTTTAACACTTCCAGTGGTTCTCAACCTTCTGGCCCTTTAAATACAGTTCCTCATGTTGTGACCCAACCATAAAATTATTTTCGTTGCTACTTCATAACTGTAATGTTGCTACTGTTATGAATCGTAATGTAAATATCTGATATGCAGGATGGTCTTAGGCGACCCCTGTGAAAGGGTCGTTCGACCGCCAAAGGGGTCGCGACCCACAGGTTGAGAACCGCTGAGCTAAACGCGCAGGAGCCAGTCTCCGCCTTTAAACTCAATTGTCAGCGCCCCGCGACTTCCAGGAGACAGCGACAGTGGAAGAAGCCGTCGGCGCTAGGGCCTGGAGGCGCCGTGGGGGCCGGGCCGGCCGGGTTTCCAGGTTTGCGTGCCGACGCCAGCGTGGTCACGTGAACGCGCTGCCACGTGACTCCGCCTGCGGCCCTCGGAAGGGGCAGAAGGGACGCGCTTGGATGAGGAGAGAAAGGGGGGGCGGCGGGGCAAGATGGCGGCGCACCTGTCCTACGGACGAGTGAACCTGAACGTGCTGCGCGAGGCGGTGCGTCGCGAGCTGCGCGAATTCCTGGACAAGTGCGCGGGAAGCAAGGTGAGGGGCGGGAGGTGGCCGCGGCGCCCTGAAGCCCCGTCCGGCCTGGCCTCCGGTCCGACCGCTCGGGCTCCCCTTGGCTGAGGTACCTGGAGCTTCCCCGGAGGCGAGCAGGCGGCGGGCCCCGGGGCAGACGGCCCGGACTCCGCGTGGCGTCGCGCTATTTTGTGGCAGCAGAGGCGGCCACCGTGTTGTCTCGGCCCCTGTGACCAGCTTACGTCCGGTGCCCTGCAGACACCGCGCGGGTGGGATGATGATGCCTCGCGTTACCAGGATCATAGGTGTCGGAACGAATCAGACGTGGGGAAGTCCCTGGAGCACCAAGGCCGGATCCCCTGCTGCGCGCGCGATGACGACAGAAGTTGTCACTTGAGGTTTTCCCGGGACCGTCCTGTTAGCACCCAGTTCACGGCGGAAGCAGAAACTGTAGGTCAGGGACTTCCGAGTGATACCATTACCGCTCCCCCATAATCTATCCGCTCCCCCCGCCCCCTGAGTACCTGGCAGTAAAACTCTGACCGGAAAAGGAGAACGGAGGGAACTCAGGATCCCGTGGTAGGAAGAAGAGAAAGCCAAGCAGGAGAGTGGGTGCCAGCAGCCATGAGAGGAGCAAACAGGCTAAGTCCCGGATCCCCCGTTCGGGGTCAGGAAAGGATGCTCAGACCGGAGTCAGGTCACGGATTGGGTCACTGCTGTGAGATTGGACAATGTCACCATTGGAAACCGGGTGAAGTGTAGGAGGGAGGAGGCCTCTGGAGCACTTGAGCACTTCTTACAACCGAATGTGCCCTACACTTGTCTCAATAAAAGCGTCAGTTCCAAGGAGAAGAAACGATCCTGGAGCTGCTCCCAGGGGCCCAGAGCAATGACCTGTGGGGCCGTGAAGGCCTAAGGTGGAGTTCTGACTCCCTTATGTTATCCTAGAGCCGTGGTCGGCAAACTGCGGCTCGCGAGCCACATGCGGCTCTTTGGCCCCTTGAGTGTGGCTCTTCCTAAGCCTTAGGAGTACCCTAATGAAGTTAATAACAATGTACCTACCTATATAGTTTAAGTTTAAAAAATTTGGCTCTCAAAAGAAATTTCAGTCGTTGTACTGTTGATATTTGGCTCTACTGACTAATGAGTTTGCCGACCACTGTGAGGCCCGGTGGGCGAAATTCATGCAGGGGGCTTGGCCCTCCTGGCCCTGGCGACCCCCACCCCTCGGCCACTGGTCATTCTGAAAGATCATTCCACCATCTGGTCTAATTACCATATTAGCTCTTTATTATTCCACCATCTGGTCTAATTACCATATTAGCTCTTTATTATATTTTCTGAGCCTTTTCAACTCTTCTTCTGTCAAAATAAATTTTCTGAGCCTTTTCAACTCTTCTGTCAAAATAAAATTTGTAATACCTACATCAGAGGTTTTAATTTTTATCTAGTTGGATTATGATACTTATATATAAAATACTAGGTTGAACTGTTGCCACTGGCAGTTTTCATATGGTTTAATCCAGTAATAGCATGACACAGGTACACAACACACGGCAGCTCCTTTCTGTTGAGGACAGCGATGAAGTCTTAACTTTCCCGTGACCACTAGTACCATCCCTTGCCTTGCTGTTTTTCTTTAGACCTGCAGGGTATGAATGTGGTCAGAGTCTATTAAAATTTTGGCTCAGTGGATAGAGCATTGGCCTGTGGACTGAAGGGTCCCGGGTTTGATTCTGGTCAAGGGTATATTATGCCTGGGTTGTGGGCTCCATCCCCAGTAGGGGGTGTGCAGGAGGCAGCCCATCAGTGATTCTCATCATTGATGTTTCTGTCTCTCTCTCTCCCTCTCCCGTCCTCTCTGAAATCAATAAAAATACTTAAATTTTTTTTTAATTCAGAGTTTGAAGCAGAGAGTCCTACTATTTATGACTGCTATTTTCTGTTGATGTTGTTGACATTCCTGATAGTAACCGTAATAAGAGAATGTGTCTTTCCTCTTACAGGCAATAGTTTGGGATGAGTACCTCACAGGACCATTTGGCCTCATTGCACAGTATTCACTACTGAAGGTAAATGAGCTATTCTGGCTTTGTTGAGGGATTAATAATTATGCATTTTTGAAATAATAATGGAATTTCACATTTTCTCCTGAACAATTAGCTTATAAAGCTGTTTGGTCTTTGTAAACACAGATACTAATTCTTGGCTAACATTTTGTATACAGTGATTCTTTGGCCTGAGATGCTAAACTGATTCTAATTCTAGGGAAATTACTAACATTGTATTATATGACCATTACCTGGTGTCTTTGATAGGTAATCATGTGAGAGTCATTTGCATTCAGATACAATAACAGCGACTTTATCCTGAAACTTGGTGCTTTATACATCTGGCTTTGGGGAATCTAAATTTGGATAATTAAGTACTAAGAGCATTTGGCTATGAGGGTAGGATGTCTGAGTCTGGATATGACAGGTAAAGACAGGTTTTTTGGTAAACTTTTGTGTATGTTTTCCTAGGAACATGAAGTGGAAAAAATGTTCACCCTTAAAGGAAGTCGTTTGCCTGCAGCCGATGTCAAGAATATTATTTTTTTTGTGAGACCCAGGCTAGAATTGATGGATATAATTGCTGAAAATGTGCTCAGGTATTTCTCAGAGCTTGTGTTTGATCCAAAAGAGGTCGATCCTCCAGGTGGTCTTAATGTACTGAGCTCCTCATTGCAACCCCACTCTCTTGCCTGTGCATTGGAAGGTGGTCTTTTGAAAACGGGGGCAGGCATGAAAGGATGTGGGGGACGGGACACTTGTGAAGTTGTTCAAACAGTTTTGGGGGCAGGGTGTCATCGCATAACCCCATTCTTTTATAGGACAGCTAAATATTTGAACCTGCATTAGTATAAGGGACCCTAATTAAAAAGAACAAAAGAAAAACCTCTAATGGTTGTTTTTCAGTATACTAAATATAGTGTTCCTGAATCTCATAAGCAGAATAAGTAAGAGCTGATTAAAATTTAATACAACATCGCTTTATAGAGGAAGTTGTCCCAGCCCGGTCTGCACTCTGGTACAATTGATTGGTGTGGCCCCTAAAACCTTAAAAGCAAATGGGCTATTTTGGGAAGTTCACTGTGAAGGAGAGTGCAGGGGGGAGTCAAGAATGATCTTTCATTTTAATGTAAGACCCTGTATCTGCATTGGTTTGGTTTAAAGAGCCATTTGTTTTCAGGAAGACACACATATCCTGTTTCAATAAACATAAAAGCTTTAGTGCCCCATAAATAGTTTGAGAGGATGCTAGAAAATGCATTACAGAGTTGTGTGGCAATGAATCAATGTTGCTTTCCTTTCAGGGGGAAAAAAAAAAAAAGAGCAACGGTAACAATTTGGGTCTGGAAGTCAATATTGGTATATTTAGCCAACATTTATTTAGTGCCTGCTGTGTACCAGACGTAGGACCAGGCTCTGGGAATAATATAAATAAAATAGTTTGTGACTTTAAAGAGCTCATAAACTAACAAACGTTACTTCTTTTGCAGTGAAGACAGACGTGGCCCAGCAAGAGATTTCCACATTTTGTTTGTGCCACGACGTAGCTTATTGTGTGAACAGCGGCTGAAGGATCTGGGTGTTTTGGGCTCCTTTATTCACAGGGAGGAGTATAGCTTGGATCTCATTCCCTTTGACGGGGATCTCTTATCCATGGAATCAGAGGGAGCCTTCAAAGTAAGTTTGGTATTTTCTTTCTTAGTATCAGACTTACACTTTTGCCAAATTTATGAGGATGACAGTGTCAAGGCTATTGTTTAACTTGCATTTCCTTGGTTACTGGAAGCTGAGCTTTTCCATAGGTATATTAATGTTTAAGATTTTTCTTTTTAGCAAATTGCAAATTGCTTGTTCATTTTTCTTTGCCCATTTTTTCTTTTTGAAGAATTCTTTATATATTTTGGGTACTTATCATTGTGGGTTATAAAAGCTGCTAATATCTTCTCCCAGTCTGTGGCTTGGCTTTTAACTTTAATTATAATACCTTTTTACCAGGTAGACATTTCCAGTGAAAAAGTAGTTACATTTAAAAAAAATGTTTTTATTGATTTTAGAGAGAGAGGAAGAGAAAGAGAAAGAAACATCGATGTGAGAGAGAGACGTCGATCTGTTGCCTCCTGTACACACCCTGACCTGGGATCGAACCCACAACCTGGGTATATGCTCTGACCGCAAATTGAACCGGCAACCTTACAGTGCATCTGATGACACTCATCCAACTGAGCCACACTGGCCAGAGCTGGACTCTTTTTTTTTTTCCCTCCAAATTTCAAACATAGAGAAAAGTTCAAGGGAGCGCCCACATACCCATCACCTAGATCAGTGGTTCTCAACCTGTGGGTCTTGACCCCTTTGGCGGTCAAACGACCCTTTCACAGGGGTCGCCTAAGACCATCCTGCATACCAGATATTTACAATTCATAACAGTAGCAACATGACAGTTATGAAGTAGCAACGAAAATAATTTTATGGTTGAGTCACAACATGAGGAACTGTATTTAAAGGGCCAGAAGGTTGAGAACCACTGACCTAGATTCTGGAATTAACATTTTGCCATATTTGCTTTGTCATGTATCTATAACGGTATGCTCATAATTAATTCACACGTGTAATTAATGTGAATTGGCAGCAGCTAGGAAACGTGTCTTGGCATGACAAAACCTGCCCAGAGGCGCGAGCTCCTGTTTATTTAATCAGGGATTTGCAAAGAAGGGCAGAATTATTTACTGCTGAGAACTTTGAGCCCTGGGCTTTGTGTGTTCACTTAAGGATTCAGTTAAGAAAACAAGCATTTTGCCTGGATGGTAAAGCTAAGAGTTCTACCTAATGTTAAATTCAATCCTGATTTCTGATGAAGTTGCATTTTACTTATTTATGTGATTTTTAAAAATATGTTTTTATTGATTTTTAGAGAGAGAGGAAGGGAGAGGGTTAGAGAGATAGAAACATCGATGAGAGAGAAACATTATCCATCAGCTGCCTCCTGCATGCCCCCTATTGGGGATCGAGCCCGCAAGCTGGGCATATTCCTTGACCGGGAATCAAACTGGTGACCTCTTGGTTCATGAGGCAGGGCTCAACTGCTGAGCCACCCTGGCTGGGCTATTTATGTGACTGTTAAACTGCAAGCATAATTTAGCATTTCTCAGCATCAGGAGGCGCTCTACAGCTTTCCATGCTTGCAGGCTGGTGATCATCTCCATCATTCTGTACAAAATGTGGGGATTCCAGTTCTGCCCAGTTCAATGCTCACAATGTTTACGGCCGTTATTTGTTGCCGGTACATGTGAAAAGCTGCCTCATGTTTGTAAAACTGCAAAGTATTCTGTTGTGTGGTCATCTGGGACTTTGGGGGTCAAAGAAGGCTCACATTTGTGAGTTCTAGCATGTGGCCCTCCCAGAATGTCCTACCCCAGTTTATATTCACCCTGGCGAATGGGAGAACCCGTGTAAGCCTTTATTAATCCGTAATTTACTCTCGAGCTGACAGGCTGAGAGCTCGCATGCCTGGTGAACCCTTTTCTTACAGAAGGTTCCGGCCCCCGGAGAATTGCTTCCACAGCTGTACCCTGAGAGCTGAGCTGTTGGCCCTGTGGCCTAGAGCAGTGGTCGGCAAACAGCAGCTCGCGAACCACATGCGGCTCTTTGGCCCCTTGAGTGTGGCTCTTCCACAAAATACTGACTTCTGCTCATGGGCCACGAAGTTTCAATCTCACTGTACGTGTGCGCCCACACATGGTATTTTGTGGAAGAGTCACACTCAAGGGGCCAAAGAGCCGCATGTGGCTCTCGAGCCGCAGTTTGCCGACCACTGGCCTAGAATGCCGAACAGCAGCTTTGTAAAAGGGACTTGGGTCCATCTCCTGCTTCCCCGGCAAAGTGGAATCCCAGTGCCAGACGGGTGGGCACCCAGGTGATCGTGGCCTGACAGTGACCTTCCATTTCTCCCCACAGGAGTGCTACCTGGAGAGCGACCAGACCAGCCTCTACCACGCGGCCAAGGGGCTGATGACCCTGCAGGCTCTGTACGGGACCATCCCCCAGATCTTCGGGAAAGGAGAGTGCGCCCGGGTGAGAGACGGCCGTGTTTCTGGTGGTGAAGGAAGGGCCCCTCGAACCCAAGAAGGGGGAAGGAGTGGGAAGCCATTTATAAACAAGTCCCGCTAATCCTTCTTATTTGGGAACTCGCCTACTTGCTAAAACTTACTCATAACCCCCGTAGTGACATTCAGTGTTCTGTAGACTTGCCCGAAACAGCAAACAGTTTGAGTTGCCCAGTGGGCATGTTGGCAGCTGAGGTCGAACAAAGTGCTGCTCTGCCCTCTTGTTTCAGCTCCTACTGCAAACAGTGTCCTTTCTGCCACTACACGGGCCCACACACTGCTTAACGCCACATTTTTTGCATCTTTGTGCTTCTTATTGGTGATTTGCTGTTAAAACGGTCCTTATGTGGAGTGAAAGGTTGTCTAGTGTCCCTGAGCACAGAAAGGTAGTGGTAAGCCTCCTGAGGAAACACGTTGGGCTTCATTCAGGTGTGAGCGATGGTGCCTTTGGGCTGTGAGCTCACTGTCAGTGAATCAACAATATATCTTTTTTTTAAAATATGTTTTTATTGATTTCAGAGAGGAAGGGAGAGGGAGAAAGAGATAGAAACATCAGTGATGAAAGAGAATCATTGATCGGCTGCCTCCTGCAAGCCCCACACTGGGGATCAAGCCCACAACTGGGCATATGCCCTGACTGGGAATCAAACCATGACCTCCTGGTTCATAGGTCGATGCTCAACCATTGAGCCATGCAGGTCAGGCTCAACAATCTTAAAGTGTCTTTAAACAGCAACACATTAAACAAGGTTACATGTTGACCAGTTGACGGAAATGTGACCAGAGCCCGCAGGAACCTCACCCCCTGTTTCCGCCAGGAGCCGTGGCTCAGTACTCGCTAATTCCTGTTCACATGACTTTATAGAACACAGTTACCAGGAATAACACAGATAGACTGTCCCTGATTTGGTTCCCCATTGAGAAATAGCGGTTGCCATTGGCCACAGTGTGAGTGTTGGGACGGGTGGCCAGCAGCAAATGCTTTCTGTAGCTGCTAATTTCTTATCTATCGCACCATTCCACAGTTTTTCTCTTTTTTTACTTTTCTGATTGTCTTTCTGTTTTTAGCCAATTTTAAAATTGGCTCATTCTCAGGAGGGTCCCACCTGATCCAATATTTTATTTCCAGCAAGTGGCCAATATGATGATCAGGATGAAGAGAGAGTTCACAGGAAGCCAGAACTCCGTATTTCCTGTTTTTGATAATCTCTTACTGCTCGATCGAAATGTGGACTTGTTAACACCCCTTGCCACTCAGCTTACATATGAAGGACTCATTGATGAAATTTATGGTATTCAGAACAGTAAGTAAAGTGCCATCTATTTTTACTAACAGGTCATTTGGCAAAAATAACGGTCATTTCTTTGAAGGTGCTTTCTTTGCATATAACTCAGAGAACATTTGAAAATATAAAAATACAGCTTTTGACTTTTAGACACTAGAGGTAAACAGTGTCCAAGTGAACGGACTGGCCAATGTGTAGTGTGAGGACTGTGCTTGTGCCCTGTGAGCAGAGGCCTGGGGTTAAATCAGGCAGCACTGCAGCCGTTCGGGAAGCTGGGAGAGGTGGCCTGGGGTGGGTTTGGAAAGAGGGAGAGAGTGTCGAGGGTGGTGCTGGTGAGGGGCAGGCAGCATCATCAAAGCAGGGAATGACAGGCGACCAGCTTGCTAAAGCAGAGAATGTAGCTGGGAACGTCACTCTAGGGCAGTGGTTCTCAACCTCCCTAAGGCCGAGACCCTTTAATACAGTTCCTCATGTTGTGGTGACCCCCAACCATAAAATTATTTTCGTTGCTACTTCGTAACTGTAATTTTGCTACCGTTATGAATCGTAATGTAAATATCTGATATGCAGGATGTATTTTAATTGTTACAAATTGAACATAATTAAAGCATAGTGATTAATCACAAAAACAATATGTAATGATATATGTGTTTTCCGATGGTCTTAGGCGACCCCTGTGAAAGGGTCGTTCGACCCCCAAAGAGGTCAAGACCCACAGGTTGAGAACCGCTGCTCTAGGGGAAAGGCTGATACGGGCGGTTGAAGACACTAGAGGGAAGACGGAAGGCCTGCAAGAGTTTAGGCTTGACAGAATCTTAGGTCAAAGGTCACCAGTGTGCTTGTTTTCGACCCACATGATGTTTGTTTCTGTCAGCATTTAAAATTGGAGGAAGTCTTGATAATAATCCTGACTGATTTACTTATGATCCGAGTCTGCTTTGATCATGGAAAAGTCAAAACCTCAGTGCTGTGCACCATTTTTTGGTCAAGGCGGCTTATGTGTCCTGATGGGAAAATTCTGCTCTGTGCCTGGGCTGTGAGAGGTGCTCCCAGGAAGTGCACACAGGCGCTTGTTCCCGTCCGTGCTGTCCAGGTTACGTGAAGTTACCTCCAGAGAAATTCGCGCCCAGGAAACAGGGCGATGGCGGTAAGGATCTTCCCACGGAAGCCAAGAAGCTTCAGCTGAACTCTGCGGAGGAGCTGTACGCCGAGATCCGAGACAAGAACTTCAACGCCGTGGGCTCCGTGCTTAGCAAGAAAGCCAAGGTGATCTCGGCTGCGTTTGAGGTGAGCTGGTGTGGTTGTCACCTGCCGCTCTTGTCACAGGCCAGACCGCCCTTGTAACTTCTCCCCTAGGAGAAAGGTATTCTGTTACGTTTTTTCCCCCTTTTTGGGGAGGGGCAGGCAGTGTTTGCAGTTTATAAGCTTTTGCCATAAATACTTGTTTTCCCTCCTTTTTCATTATTTCCTACCCCACTTAAGAAGAAGCAAGCTGTACTATAAATAAAAGATCCTCTGTAATAGAACTTGCAATTTGGGGTGAAAACTCCCCAGGTTGACCAACATGCTGGTGGCAGAGGCCCCTGCAGTCGTGGTGGGTGATAATGAGAGTGAAATCCCCAGCGGCGGGAGCTTTGAAATTGGCAGCTTCATTATCAGCTTCCTGTCGGCTCCTGCCTGGTCCCTGCTTCATTCTGGGTTCAGCTTGATTTTGAACCGTGAGAATCAGTGCGACGTAGATGGAATACGTAGGCTTTAGAGACATGAATTTGGAGAACTTTTGAAAGCTAATTTTCTACTGAGGATGTATTTCCAGATTTCATCTTTCTTAGGAATTACATCCATTTAATTGATTTTCATGTTTCTGATGTTACTTTTGGTTTAAATGACTCAATTTTACAAAAAAATATTTTCTCATCACTAAGTGAGGTTCACTTTGTTCAAGGACATTATTCAAAATTACTAATAAGGCTCAGTAAGGAGGATGGCTCTTTCCTTCTCGTTATAGAAGGAACTTGCTGTTTATGTTCTCCTCTTAACATAGTGCTTTTAGTGTTTTACTGCAGAATGTCTGTGGTTTACCCAATACTGTCCCCCCACATATACTCAGATGCCCACAAAATACTGTTCCCAGCATGAACCGGCACCTGGGAAGAGAACCACAGACATTTGCTTGGTACAGAAGCACCAGCACCGTGAACAGGCACGGTGAACGGACTTTTTCTGGTTTTCCATGTGATGTTGGAGCTGGGTTTGGCCCGATTCAATTTTATCCCATTCTTTTTGCCACATTAAACTAAACTAAACAAAACAAAGAACAGAACTCTTGACAGTGAGTATCTTCCTTTCTCGGTGGTTCTGCCCATTTCAGGAGAGGCACAACGCCAAGACGGTGGGGGAGATCAAGCAGTTCGTCTCCCAGCTGCCCCACATGCAGGCCGCCAGAGGCTCGCTGGCGAACCACACCTCAATCGCAGAGCTGATCAAAGATGTCACTAGTGAGTATCCAGGGGTGAGGTTCGCCTGGGCTGCCTCACAGGCCTACCCAGTGTCTGCCATGTGGCCCTGGGCACCAGCGTGATTCTCAGGGTTAATTAAGCGAACACATGTTCACAGTTAAAAGTGCGCCATTCGTGGTGAGCACGTTTCTTTTGATTATTAAAATAATGTAATCATCTGGTAAACTTTTTGGGATGCCAATAAGAGGGAGCAGAAGTTTGCCGTAAGTTTGCCACCATAATATGAGGCAGTTAATTTTTTTTACTCTAGTTTTTTTTTTCTTCTATTATTAAGGATCATTTAATTAGAGCAATGGGATGTTTCTGTTTCTGTTTTTGTTTTTCCCTTGAAAACTTTCCACAGAATTGGTATACAGCACACAGTGAGTGCTTTGAAAGAGCTCCGAGGGTGTATATTAAACTAAAGACAAGCTTATTCTTTAAAACTCAGGCTGTAAAAGCTGCCTAGGAGCTTGGTCAGTGCCCTGTACTATGACGTACACTTTGAATCTTAGATACAGCACAGTGTTGGATAGAAATTGGGTGAAACTAGGTTGAATCTGATGATGCAATGCTCTGGGGAAATTAGCTTTCACTGATACTGAGGCAACATTTTTGAGTTTTGAGGCTAGCAAAGGGGTTGGGGGTCCACTCCATCTAGATGGAACTTAGGGATGCAGGGTCGTAGGGTTTCCATGCTTTCAGAAGATTTTTGCCAGGAGCCTGTTTCAGCCTGTGGCCTGCTTGCTTTTTGGCATGTCTTGTTTCTTAATCATGCTCTGTTCATAAACGCACATCACTCAAATAAAAGGACATTTATTTGATTTCTAAGTTGCAAATCTCCTAATTACATTTTAGCTTCTGAAGACTTCTTTGATAAGTTGACAGTGGAGCAGGAGTTTATGTCTGGAATAGACACCGATAAGGTTCGTGAACAATTAAACTAACAAATAATGATACTGTATCAAACATAAGGCCATAGCTAGAAAAGCAATGGCTTTGACTCCATTGTATTTTTAAGAGCAAATGCAAAATGTGAAGCCCTAACCGGTTTGGCTCAGTGGATAGAGCATCGGCCTGCGGACTGAAAGGTCCCAGGTTTGATTCCGGTCAAGGGCATGTACCTTGGTTGCAGGCACATCCCCAGTAGGGGGTGTGCAGGAGGCAGCTGATCGATGTTTCTCTCTCATTGATGTTTCTAGCTCTCTATCCCTCTCCCCTCCTCTCTGTAAAAAATCAATAAAATATATTTTTTTTTTAAAAGTGAAAATACAGATTTTATCAGTAACAGGTATTTCCTGCGATGCACGGAGAGGTGAGACCCAGCCCCAAAATCAGAGCTTTAAGGGCTATAATAGGCAAATTGAGATACTTGCTTGCAGAGAGAATTGGTCATATATTTCTTTACATAGTCACCTCTTTAGTAAATTTAAAATGATTCATTTTATGAAAATTTCCATCTTCTAAAAACATTCCTGTTACTGATAAATTGCCACTTTACTGGGATAGACTAGGTCACACATGCCTCTCAGGACATTGTCCATAGAGACAGACGAGCCCAGACGGGCATCTAGATTGTTGAATGTGTCCTCACCGGCCTTATGCTCCTGGTGACTGGGGTGTGTGTGCCAGGGGCTGGAGGGGGCTTAGGGAATGGGGGATTGGGGAGGGGGGCATTCTCCCACACATCTCCTTTATTTGATTTTTAAAAATAATAGTATATATTAAGTTCTTGAGGTCCCCAAACCAGGTGATGGTATAGGTCTGTCTGTGCTTTGTTTCCAGGTCAATGGTTACATTGAGGACTGTATTGCCCAGAAGCATTCACTGATCAAGGTGTTAAGACTTGTTTGCCTCCAGTCGGTGTGCAATAGTGGACTCAAACAAAAGGTTCTGGATTATTACAAAAGAGAAATTCTCCAGGTCAGTGTGTGCGTGTGTGTGTGTGTGTATACATACACATGTGTGTGTATGTATGTGTGTGTGTGTG